CGCGCTCCGGCTTCGCCTTTTGTTATTGTAGCGGCGCGGGCGGCGGAGGTGAGTGCGGGCGGCGCGGCACCCCGGGGGGCACCCCGCACCTGCATCCCCGGCTCCCGTGGAACCCCTGGGTCCCGCACCCCACACTTCCGGGCCTGCACCCCGCACCCCCGGGTCCTGCAGCACCCCTAGGTCCTGCACCACACACCCCCAAGGCGGCACCCCCGGGCCTGCACCCCTCACTCCCGGGTCCGACGGCACCCCTGGGTCCTGCACCCCGCACCCCCGGGTCCTGCACCCCGCGGCATCCCAGAGCAACACCCCGCACCCCTGGGTCCTGCACCCCCGGGTCCTGCTCTCCTGGCGTCCCGCACCCGGCCTCAGCCCTGAGCCGCCCCCCCCAGCATGGACCCTGCAGCCTGGCCGGGGGCTCCAGGAGTCTCTCCCAGGCACCCCCAGGGCTGCCTCTGGGCTGGGGGAGTGCGGGTGCTGCCCTGCCCCAGCTGGACGCCCCCATCCCCTCCAGCAGGGACGAGACGTAGGGCCGGGTTTGGTGCCTGGTGCCCCCCAGATGGAGCTGGTGCCAGGCTTGTGGGTGGCAGGGTTGCCTGCGGGGCTCGTCTCCTCCGGCAGTGACCCCAGTGGGGTCCAGCCATGAAGACACCACTGGTTTTCACCCGCCACAAGGAGAGCTGGGGGTGGGGGACACAAGGGGACACGGTGCCTCCCTGCCCAGGCACGTGGTGGCAGATAGGGCAGGACGCGGGTCGTGAGCCAGGTCCCGGCATGAGCGGGATTGGGGCTGGCAGGGCCCCGCGCACTGGAAAGTGGCTGCAGACGTGGAGAGGCTGGGGGTGGGGGGGCTGGCAGGGCGCCGGCGCCGCGCGAGGCTGACGGTTTGTTATGTCTGCTGTGAGCCCAAGGATGTTTCCCAGGGCTGGAGCGGGGCCGTGGCGCCTGCCCCGACTCACCGCCCTGCCCCCACCAGAGCCGGGGCCACTGCACACAGAGCACACATGTGCACGGACGCGGCACATGCACGAAGCGAGTACACGCATGCAGGCCATGCTTCCACGTAACTCGTGTCCAGGCATGTGTGGAACATGGATATGGCACATGCACATGGCCAAAGCACAGGGACACACATGGTGCATGTGCACAAGGCACACGCACACAGAGGACACGAGAATGCACAAAGCACATGTGCGCATATGCACGCTGCATGTAGACACACACGGCCTGCACACACACAGCACACACATGCGCGCTGCACATGGACACATGAAGCCTGCACAAGGCATGCACACGTGCATACAGCACACAGGCCCATGGCACGTGGACATGTGAAGCCTGCACATGCACACGGGAACACGAAGCGTGTGCATGCATGCCGCTCCCTCCTGCACCACGCCGGGGTAGGGGCCCCTAAGCCCCTCCTTCCCTGTCACCCCCGGCCCCTGTGCTTCCCTGTGACCCACCCATGACCCCGCAGTGACCCTGTGGGGTCCTGCCAGTGGCGCTGGGGCCTAATGCCACCTCCCAGAGCTGGGAGCACTCCCTCTGCGCAGCTTCTCTCTGGGTCCCAGCCAGGAGGGACTCAGGAGTCCAGGTGGTTCTGGGAGGGGCCTGGGGATGCAGGTCAGGAGTGAGGGACACCGGCTGACCCCTGGCCTGGGGCAGGGGTGACACTGCAGCTCATCCACAGGGTCCAGCCATGTCGCTGGCGGCGCCCAGCAGCAGCGATGCCTGCCTGAGCATCGTGCACAGCCTGCTGTGCCACCGGCAGGGTGGTGAGAATGAGACCTTCGCCAAGCGTGCCATTGAGAGCCTGGTCAAGAAGCTGAAGGAGAAGAAGGACGAGCTGGACTCGCTCATCACAGCTGTCACCACTGGCGGGGCCCACCCCAGCAAGTGTGTCACCATCCAGCGCACCCTGGACGGCCGCCTGCAGGTACCCCATGGCCTCCCACAGCTGGGGGTACCTGGGCGACCGGGCCCTCCTAGACCCCATATCTATCCCAGAGCTGGGGGGAACCCAGGTGTTCAGGCCTTGCTAGCCCCCCTACCCCGTCCCTGCCACAGCTGGGAGGGACCCAGTCATCCGGGCCTGCTACACCCCACGTCCCTCCTGGAGCTGAGGGGAACCCAGGCGTCCAGGCCCTGCTAGACCCCCACGTCCCTCCAGGAGCCAGGAGAGAACCCAGGCAGGCGTCCAGGCTCCCAGCCCCACCTTCCTGTGCTCCAACCCAGAAATGCCCCACCCCTGCCAGCACTGGCAGAAAACCCAGGCGTCCCAGCTTGCTGCAGCTCTGGCTGTCGCTGGCCAGGCCCCACACCCTCCCGACGGGGTGGGACCCAGGCATCCAGGCGGCAGCTGGGGGGGCCAGGGGGCTGACGTCAGCGTCTGGGACCGAGCTCCTGGGAGCCGCATTTTTGTGGCTGAACCTGGGGAGGGCCTGGGCCACAACCCCCGCTCCCTCCCCCCCTGCAGGATGGGGCCAAGCCTGGGCTGGGCGCCTGCTCCCC